AATGATTAAGTGTCTTGCGGGTTATAAAAGGGTGCAGCTGTTAAGTTTCCTACAAGGGACCTTCTGCTCCTCATAATACTACTCCTTCAGTTTCTAAATATAAAAACCTTATATGTGTATAGGGTCTTATATTTAGGACCGGAAAAGTATTAGAAACCCAAAGAGATAACATGTTATGTTTCATATTTTGCCATTGCAATCTCTAGTTTTTGTTGGGAATCATACTGGTTTCTCTCTTTTAGCATTTGCAAATTTGGCTCTTTCTCCGTTATTTTGTAGTATCTCACAACTTTGTACTTTTAGTTTTACAAAAGTTAATGTTTTATGAGATTGACTTGATGCAGCAGTGCGGGTTGTGTCCGTGCTTATCCATTAACTAACACCAGGCCCTTTGAATATAGGTTTTATGCATAGTACTATTTCTCCGTATTCTCTCCGCTTCCTTCAAACAATCCAAAACCAAACATTTGTGTGCCATATTATTGAAAAGCCATCTTGCGCCTTTGGACCACCGTACCCAAAACGTAATTTTTATTGACCCATTGTGATAAGCCATGACGGGCTTCATTTTCTTTTAAAGAAAAGTAGTACGGTCGCATGACATAATTAATATATTACTATTCCAGTCCTTAATATAATATTATTTAACTAATTTATTATATTTAGAAACTTCGGTAAGTTTAGTTAATTATAAAAAATATGACATTTTTTTTCTAAAACATCATAATCATCTTTCTTAATATCCTTCATCCCTCACTTACTTGATTATAGTTGAGAGAGTATTTATAGGGGTAATTTAGAAAAATTGATAAATATGAGAAATAGATCTTATATTTAAGGTTAAAATTAATTTAACAATTAGGTCCTATATTAAGAATCGAAGGAGTATTATATAGTGTGCTACTTCTTCATGATTTGCTGGGCAAAGGCACAACTAGAAGAAGCACCAAACAATAATTAAACAAGATTGATTGATTGTTCCAAGTGTCTCAATAAATTATACTAACCTCCAATCTTGAGTATAAAATCCAATTTATATATAAATTGGATTTTATACTCAAGATTGGAGGTAGTATTAACATTCTAAGATGTCTCTTTCGGATAATTACCATATCAAACTTAGTTGCGACAAATTTCAGAGAATTAACAACACTTGAGGAGCCCAAATTTCGTTATTCATAATAAACGCCATCTTAACGAGACCCCAAAGCAGAAAAGTTAACCATAAAAACACAAATCCACCAATACGGTGGGAGGAGAATACACGTAAGCCAGCCTACCAACATGCTTGGGCCTTTGGTTCACATTAAACGATGGCGTGTCGGCTTCAGTGTCTCGTACGTCACAGGCGCGGGAGGCGGCGCCGTTTCATCGTACTTGGAATAAGAGCCTTTCTTACACGGAACAAGCTTGAGAGACCATTCATTCGGGCATGGTTTCACGCAAGATAGAAACTTGTGACATTCTTCTGGTGATTTCTGATTGGGAAGCCCCTTTATGCAATTCTGGCTCACATCAAGCACCTTAGAATCTATCAGCTTCTTGCATTTTGGTCCCACGTAAGTGAAATAGTTACCCGCCAAGGTAAGATTCCCGTTGTTGCAAATTCCAGGAAGCTCGCACACTGATTCCGGAACAGCGCCGTAGAATTTGTTGTTAGCTAAATTCAGGAAGCGAATCTTCTGTAAGCATGCAAAAGATTCTGGGATTGGACCAGTCAATGAGTTCTTGCTCACATCGAAGACTACAGCTTTTTTCAGGAACCCAATCTCGTAAGGTAGACACCCAGAAAACTGGTTTCCCAGGAAGAGAACTTCCGTCAAAGTCTTCGAAGCATTTCCTATGCTACTTGGGATTGGTCCCGTGAATCTGTTGTTGGCGAATGTGAGGTATCTTGCAGGTGTGTTTCCGAAATTCCACGGAAGTTTGCTGCTGAATTTGTTGTTGTTGATGAAGATGACGTCTAGATCCATGGTGAAGAGCTTCGGAGGGACTGGTCCAGTGAGGTCATTGAACCTGAGATCTAAGAAAAGTATCTGATTATTTGAAAGAGCTTCCATTGGGAAACAACCTTCGAGCTTGTTGTTGCTTAAATCAAGCTCGAAGAAAAATTTGGAATTACTGATTTCTGCGGGGACCTGTCCTGAGAAATTGTTGGAGTTGACATGGAAGAATGTCAACTCTCGAATCGAACCCAAGATTCCTGAAAGACTCAATCTTGAACCTTGACGACCAGAAAAACCAGCTTGGTTGAAATCTAATCCTGCAACGGCTCTCTCCTTATTCCCATATGGGTAATCCGCGCATCTAACACCCTTGTAGTTACAGGGGCTGTCTTCAGCCTTCCAGCTTCGGGTGAAGCAATTGGGGTCGTCAACTGTCTTGGCAAATTTCAGAAGCACACGGCGTGCGCTCACCAGCCGGCGAGACAGCGGCGGAGGCGGCGGAGGCGGCGGAGGCGGCGGAGGCGGCGGAGGCGGCGGAGGCGGCGGAGGCGGCGGAGGTGGCGGAGGCGGCGGAGGGGGACAGTCGGCGGGAGGAGAAGGGGCGCCTCCGCCTCCGATGATGATCTCTAATGCTTCTCTTTCAGAACGAGGGAGTTCTGCAGAAAGAGCTGAGAGTGATGGGTGAAGTAAGGAAGAAGATAATATGAGTGAAACGATACAGTAAGAGATGGCGTCCATTGTGTTAACTCGAATGAATTCTGATGTGAGAATTTAATATAATTTTCCGAAGATAAGGACGGAAAAGTCAATGTTCACGAGCCTCAGTTTCAGAACGAAACACATTACAATGAAGGGAAAGATTTTAGTACTTCTTTCGTGCGGTAAAGGAGTCAATAGTAAGTTAATTATATTCTTGTACAATCTGGGTTATTTTCTTTTTAGTTTTGCTTTTTAGGGAAAAAATAGTTGTATTGAAAACTAACAATTTTTTGTTTTCTAAATGTCAAAACTTTCCTCTTGGAAATATTAAAACTATCACCTACGTACATATTGTTTACAAATTATACACTATTTCTGGTCCTTAATATAATATTTTATTTTATTTTTATTTTGGTCATAAATATAAGTCTTTAATTCATTTCGTCTCTTATATTTATGTATCTTTTTCTAAGATAGTCCTTCTAATAATGGTAGTTTTAGCCAATACACTTGATTAGTAAGGATATATTAAGAAAAATAATATATATTTATTACAAACAACTAACTTAACTTATTTTTTTAATATCTTTAAATTAGTTATAATTAGGATCGGAAGTAGTATTATTTTTGAAAATATCAAAGTAGCTGTAATTTTCTATATGAAAGTAGAGATCTAGGAAAAACATGTGTGGAAGGAAGGTAGAAGGTAGAAATGCTGTTAGGCGTTCGTTTTCGAACAAGGACGCCTTTTCCCGTACGTTGTGTGAGTGCGTATAAAATGCCATTTTGGTAGGTCCTCAACTTTTAAATCATATGCCTCCGTACTCCAAGACATGCAAAAGACTCTGAAAAGATAACCTTTTGATCATGACACGTTTGCTATCACCCAAAAAAGAGAGAAAATTAAATAATAATAATAATAATAATAGAAGGATAACTATTTTAATATAATTTAATTTGATATTTATTATATTTTTATCATCAATTTATTATAATTATTTTTTACTTAGCACCATAATCGAATTTTTGTTTTGGTCGTTATAATTTCACGTAATACCTTTTTATCTGTATAACTTCATAAGAATTTAATCTAAGTTAATGTGAATAAGCAATGAACAAAATGAGTTCTAATTTTTGCCTTATACTTGACGAAATTAACTTTTAGTTGTCAAATTTAAACCAAGTCCCTATGAAATTATAAGGACTAAAAATTAACAATTTAAAACTGTAGGATTTAAAACAAAAAATTATTCAAATCCTAAGAACTAGCAATAATATGAAACCCTTTTTTTCAAATTGAAGGGTGAGGGTGACCTATCGCAGAGGGCATCATGCATGGCCTCCAATGCCAACCTGTTTCCCACATTTTCTTCTTAATAAGACACACAATCCATTTGAATCATTCAACATTCGCCAAAGGAATGAATCATTGAAGTTTGCCTCAAATTGCGTATTCTCAAATAACGTGGTTAGTTTGATCATGTTTTTATCAATGAGTCCTCCTAAAAATTGTGAAAAGAAGTGGATGAAACGAAAAATTCCAAGAGAAACCTGAAAATTGTTAAATTTTAAATTAGGTTTGTTTTCTGTATTTTAGCTGGTTTTATTACACTTGACTTATACAAATAACAGCATACTTTTTTCATAAAAATTCCTGATTTAGGATTTAATGATTTTTAAGTTCTTTTTGTCGGATTTACTTATGAAACAACTTTTTAGGAATAACTGAAATTTTTGACAAATATAAGAAAATAGAACAGTTTCTTAAAATGCATCAAAATACTTGGAAATATCTTATAACAAGGTCTGAATGAGTATTCATTTAATACCAACTTTTAACTTGTGAAACAGTACATAATCAAATAATTATGTGGAAGAATATAATAAAGTACGAGTATTACGTAAGGACCGTCGGTTGATGACCTCCACGAAAGAGGTGGTCCACATATGTCTCACATTTTTTCCACTTTGGTGAGATGTTTACTTCTCTCCTGAAAGGTATTGCTCAACACAAATGAGCTTCACTTTAATTTATTATCTTGCATGGCCTCAAAGGAGTTGAATTAAAAATACTTACTTCTCTTGTTCTTAATTTATGCCCTAATAGAGGAGTTAATATTTGTCATATATGTAAGATTTATCTTTAGTCTATTAATTTTTTTAAAATTAACCTTATTAATATTCTCTTAACAATAATTAAGTAGGAGAAGGAAGAAGAGAATTGAGCAAGATATTTAAGGTATTTTAGAAAAAAATATATCATATTAATTAATTTAATTAACATTCTTAATATACTCAAATTAATTAACTAAATCTTACCGTAAGGACTGGATGAGTATTAAATAGTACTCATCCACACCTCTATATTATTTTTCCCCCAACATTCTGCCTCTAGTTCTAAGTGTAAAATCTATTTTAGAGTGTAATTATACTACAGAATAGGTCTTACATTTACGAGCGGATGGAGTATCATAGTATAAAGGGTTCGGAAAAAATATAATATAGAGGTGTGGATAAATACTACTATTTAATACTTCTTCGGCTTTTAATGATACACTACAAGATGAGTCTTATATTTAGGATAGGAGGAATATTCACTACTACAAAAAAAAAAATTTAACGGCGGTTAAAATAAGCTTTTTACGGCGGTTTTGAGAGCGATGTCTATGTTATCAGTGTAAAATGTAGAGGATTTCATGGCGGTTTAAGAACTGCCATGGTATGTGACTTTTCACGGCGGTTATATAAATAACCACTTTGAAAAGTTTTTTTTTAAGTCTACGTTTCACCTTATTGATCAGGATGGAATGGGAGAACAAAGTCTCAAAGGAAAGGGTCTAAAAATCAATTAATTGATAATCTCTCACCAGTTAAAAGCATTCTGATAGAGCAAATGTAGATTTTTTCCCGCCGTAATAGCGCCACTTAGCTTCACCTTCAACCACTAGATCAAAGCCACTAAGATTTAATAAAGATAAAATCAAAGACTCAGATCTGAGAAAAATCAGATCTCTTTAAACTCAGATTAAACATCATATTTTTAACTAAAGAAAATAATCATATCAAACTACAAAAATTATGAAATTCACAGAAAGAATGGAAGTGAAAAATTCACAAATAAAAATGAAGATGGCGACAGTGATGGAAGAACATGGCGGAGATGATAGAAGTAACAGATAAATACTGACAAAGGTAGAAGAAGGGAGAAAATCAAGTGAGGACGGTAATGGGGGACTATGAGCTCTGACTCTGAAAATTGAAAACTATCACGCCATGGATTTTAAAATTCTGATAGATTTTTTACGGCAGTTATTTAAAAAACCGCTGTTAAAAGTATTTTTTACGACGGTTTTTCAAATAACCCGCCTTTAAAAGCATGCCTATAATTTCAGAAATGCTGCCATTATATTTTTTACCATGTTTTTTAAATAACCGCTGTAAATCAGTGTCGTGAAAGTTGTTTTTGTAGTAGTGATTATATATTATTACCCTTGGTCCCGCGCACCAAGATTCCTATGACTTTTCTTCTTAAAAAGACTTCAACGATAGTAGCATGACAAGAGGGAATACACCTAAGGCAACTTAATTTTAATTTATCTTAATAACAAAATATCATATATACGGCAATAAATGAATTTATATATACAACATAAAATCACAATAAATTGTAATGTCTGAATTATGAAGGATGCAAGTAATTCTTTAGGGTAAAAAATAAAAATGGATAAACACAACAGCCAATTGGGAGGCTGCCGACAAATTTCACAGAGCAAATAAAGCTGGAATTCGAAAATACAAATGCAAGTTGTCAGGATTTGTCTGCACTTGCACGTGCATGATTGATAATACCGCTTGGCTTTCTTACCGCGACGTACACTTTCAATTATTGAACCTTAAATATATTTAATTAATATTTTATCCTATTTTTTTTAGGTTTCTTAAAAGATTTGAGCTATTACTGCTGTACACCAACTAGATATATTTCTTTGTAAAAAATTGATCAATTCGACGTACGTATAAAAATAAATATTCATCCTTTTTATGTTATTAATACATGTGAAATGCCTTGGTAAAAAAAAATACATGTGAAACGTAAATTTTGAAGCGCTTTTCTCACTGTGTACATAGTTTGAAAATGAATTTTAAAATAATTTATAAATAGTTTTGCAGTTGTAATTCATAGAATACAAAGTAAATATGTGACGACTGTTTTGTCTCAACTTATACAAACATGTTTATAATTAAGTGCTTGTAGATCACAATTCCAAACCAATCCTAAATAGTTTCTCATCCATTCACAACTTATTAATTATTCAACAAGATATTATTTTTGGGCCAAAAAAGAAGCACAATATTATTGCTGATCAAGTTAGAGAAATTAAATACTGTCCATTCCCGTGCACATTACATGCAGGGCTAGTTTTCCGGCTACAAATTAAGATTATTTATTTTTCATGCTTTTTAAAATCACAAATTAATTTTCTATTTATCTCAATAAGACTAGTACTATTTTTTCTTTTTATTGTTGAGAGAAAATAAGTCAGGTTAAATACTTCTGTCATCGATGAGGAGACCCATGATATTTTTTAAAAAATCTTATTGGTCATGATGGATTAATGACTGGGACAAAAGAATTGCCCTTTTTCCTTGCAGACAAAATTAAAAAGGACATCACGTGACATTTTAAACTCTTCGAAGATCCAAATCACCTTTAAAAGATGATAAAATAAATAAATATTCCTCGAGCCATCACCCATATTCATAAGGTTTATATACTTACCTCCTTAAAAGGCAGTAATAAATTGAAAAAATTGAAATTAAATTTTTAATTATTTTATGCAGTAACTTTGGAAAATATCATTATCAAACTATTTTTGTAGATTTCAATGGAGATTTTAACCTTAAAATATCAATATTATGAGTTATGGATTCTTAAGTGGGGACCAAATACGACAAATGAAATAGGGGGTGTTTGGATAGAAACCAAACCATAGTTTCAGAAGTGTTTTTACGGATTACGAAATAAATATGTAGAGGAGATTACCTCGTTTTACAGAAAAGTGCTTCTGAAACCATAGTTTTGGGTTTCCCAAACACCCCATAGTCAGTCAACTGATTATTTATAACACTTACATGGGGCTCACCCTTTTTTCTTGGGGGGATCTGAATGGGGTTGATACAACCGAGAAACGAGCCCGTGGCACCTGGACGTGGCTATATAGGCCTAAGGGGATTGGGCTACGAAGGTGGGCCTCGTCTGGCCCATATCATTTCTCCCCAATTTATTTAATTACTTAAAATTTACCCATCATCCTTAAGTTTAGTTGGCAAGAGGTTGGACACTCTCACAAGTCGCAAATGAAATGAGTTCGATCCTTGAGCTGGTTAAGGTGCTGAGGGAGGCATATTCGTAGTTCAGTGAAACTGAGAGATTATTATTTATTGGGCAAAAAAAAAAAAAAAAAAGACTTACTTGTCATCCTTCTATGCTTATAGGGACAGGTTCCAATAGACTATAAGTTAGTTTTTCTGTTCTTGCATTGTGAGTGAACCTAACCCCTTTCCTAAAATTCTTGCACCCAAAAAAATTACTTAAAATTCTTAATAATATTTATAGCTCTGTGAGCATAAATTTGATTTGTGGGTTTTTTTTTTTTTGGACTGAGGATTTGTGGGGGGTTGAATGGATGTTTGATTAATTATGGAAACCATGATTTGTGATAAAAAGCAGCCAAATATCTCGTACTATTTCTGGTCCTTAATATAAGATCCAGTTTGACTTTTAGTTTGGTCCTAATTATAAGATTCCAATCTATTTTGTCTCTCATATTTATACATTTTTTCCAAGACAATCCTTCTAATGATGATAGTTCTAGCCAATACACTTAATTAGCAAGGATATTTTAAGAATGACAACACTTATTTATTACAAATAACTAACTTAACCTACTTCCTTAATCTCTTCAAATTAATCAACTAGGTCTTATAATTAGGACCGGAGGTAGTACAATTTAAGAATTGATTAATTATATCAAAACCATAATTTTCATGAAAATCAATGATAGCATCAAAGAGTAATGTACCAAAAACACCCTCCATTCAATCACAGACGGCGGTGCAAGATTTGTCCAAGATCTAACGTGCCAGAGAGAGGCAAACGTATAGTGTTGGTGGAAAAATAGATTTGTGAAAAACTATTGAGCGTCTGGATTTTTTTTATTTAAAAAACCATAATTTTCTCTCCTAGCATCCCTCCTTCCTATACTTAATGGGGAAAACATATTGTGACATATGTAGGAATCATGGGAGACTATGCAATTTGAATTTTGGGGTTGCTGGAATTGCCCAGTTCTAGACAAAACTCTCGGGTGTTCAGCAAAGCCAATTACAATTTTACATAAATCAAGAAACATATTAAATGTCATTTTTTAAATTTAACAACATTTTAATTTTACTCTTATTAATATATATGTGTTTTGAAAAATAATAATATATATAATAAATGAAGAATAACATAATACGTTTCTGTTTAAAATTTAATATTAACTTATAAATAAAACAAAACAAATTATTCTCTCTCTGCTTTATATACAGAATAAGAGGAATATAAAAAACTTAAAATCCATGACTTAAATATAATAAATATTAAAAATAAAATATTCATAGTCAAAACATTTAAATTCTTTTCTTTAATTTGAGTATCGTTATTAACATTCTCATAAATTCATACTACCTCCGGTCCTTAATATAGGACTTCGTTTAAATTTTATTTTGATTTTAAATATAAGATCTCAATCCACTTTGTTTCTAATATTTATACATTTTTTCAAGATAACCCTTCTAATAATGATAGTTCTAGCCAATACACTTGATTAATAAGGATATTTCAGAAAAAAAAACAACATTTATTTATGACAAATAACTAACTTAACTTCTTTTTTTAATTTCCTCAAATTAATCAAACTAACTCTTATAATTAGAACCGGAGATAGTATCTTATACAAAATATGAGAGGCGAAAAAAAATTCCAACTATGATATATCTACTCTACGTCAAGTCCTTTTAGTATCACACCAAACTTTAATTAACCGCGTTAATGTATGAAATGAGCTGAATGGGTGGCAAAAAAAGGAAAAGAAAAAGAAAAAGAAATGAGATGAATGAAATAAAATAAGTGCTTCAACTTAAATTGTCATTTTCCTCCATTTCAGACAAAAAATTGGCATCTACCTATCGTTTTTTTAGGGAAAACCATATTGAAGGTACCTATACTTTCTCTCAATTTTTAATTTGGTACCTATGTGTTTTTTTTCCTTTCAATTAAACATTTAATTTTATCTTTTTAGCAACATTAGCTCTTGTAACTTTGTTCTATTGATATTTTTAGTTTCTACAAAAGGATTAATAATGTTAATAGAGCAAAATTAAAAGATTTAGTTAAGAACAAAAAACACATAGGTACCAAATTGAAAATTGAAACAAAGTATAAGTACCTCCAATATGGTTTTTCTTTTTTCTTTTTAATTTTGACCAGCATTGGCATCTACCTATCTAGGATAAGCATTAAGTCAATTGTTTTATTTAAAGTTTACTAAATGATGACGTGATCATTTCTAATTGGAGATAATTTGCAGGGGGTGTAATAACCTAAGAATAAGTTTTTTAAAAAATTTTCGGATCAATATTTGGACACCGCTGGATTGCAACTTTCTGACGTCACACATATTTTTCAGGTTAATCGACGCTTGTCGGTCCATTGACCAAAAGATCATCGTGAAGCGACGCTAACATTAAATAACTGCCAATCCATTTCTCGCCAATGCCCTAATCCTGTGATCCCTAATCAGCTCCGTCACTTGCCCTTTAGATCCAGTGCATAGATTCCCACGTCGATTTGAGTCTGCTTCATTTCTCGCTTCTCCTGATTTCTGACTTTGGTAAGATTGGCTCCTTGCTCAAGATCTCAAATTGCTGAAATAGCCGTTTTCTAAATTCAATTTTGATCGTCTCAATTTTATTTTTCGTTGAGTACAAATCAAGGAAGGTGTATTCCTCCATTTTAAGTGCACTTTTGATCATTTCGCTGTTTTAATAGCTCGGCTTTAGGCGTGCTTCGGTTTTTTTTTTTTTTTTTTTTAGGGTCATGGTGTTATGTAGTTCTATGGTATGAAACTATTATCTCCGAATGTTTGAACACATAAATGTAGTCTGTGGCCAATGATTGGCTAGGCCGGATGGGATTGAGTTGAACAGGAGGCAGTGTAATTTGTATGAAATCCCTAAGATGGCTGTTGGATTCTGCCATTGAGCTTAGTCCCATCCTCCTCTGGATACTGAAATGAAATGTGAAAATGGTTTTCCTTTTATATTACTTCTGAATTTTGAATGAGGGAGTGAAATAAACGTTCATTACCACAGCATATTGTTTCTGCTGGCAAGAACTGCATGGAAGCAGAAGAAATAAACTTTTTTTTCCTCGCGCACTGTTGTCGTCCTATTGAAGCCGCAGCTTTACAGGCGTTTCTGAATTTTTCGAACAAATTTTTGAATTCTTTTTAATGACATATCTGGGGTTTTCCTTCCCTAATAATTCTGCATTTTCTGGGGCCTTATATGATTTTGCCTACTTGTAACTTGATTAGCCCTTTTTCCGCCTTGATCGCGAATAACTCTACTCTCTATGCAGGGATAGGCAACTTAGACACAATGACTGATAAACATACTACTAATGGATAGCATATTTTCTTTGTTTCATCTAATTTATAGTCTCAAACTAGCCTTTGGTATGATATATAAGTTTTTGCGCACGGTTCAATGGAGGAACATAATGTAAAACGATAATAACTATTTGATTTTCGTTATCATACATTTTATTAATGCTCATGATGTTTGTATGTGCAGCTTTAGCCAGAAAAATGCTGTAGAGATACCTAATTTTCAAATCAAATCCAGCTAAGTCCCTGTTAGTACATTTCCAGTCAAATGGATCCAGTGACTGCTGATACACCTGATTTACCTCCTGCTAAACATCCATCTAGTTCACCTTCTGTTAAAGATCATGAAGGACAAACTTCTCCCCCTGCAGTCTCTGGGCAAGAAAATTCTTCTCATGTGACCTCATCTGCGCAATCTTCCACTGGCATTTCATCATGGGCTAGAAATTTGAAAATTCCCCAGCCATTTTCTGGCTCTCAAGATGATTCAGCTACTGAAAATTCTGGGAAATCTACCTTTGCACGCTTCACGAATAATTTAGCTATGCGGTTGTCTCCAAAACCATCTTCATCAGATGACAGCTCCAATGAAGCTGCTCAATCTAATTTAATTGAAAGCTTCACAAAGGGTCTGGTTGACTCTTCAAGAAATGCTGTGAAAGCTGTGCAGGTCAAGGCCCGACATGTTGTTTCTCAGAATAAACGTCGATACCAGGTGCTCTTCATGAGTGTTCCAATTTACTCTCTGATTATTCCAGCATGGTATCTTAAATCCTAAGCACACGCATTCTAAAACATTTTTTTTGGCCTAATGGAGTGACTCTTAATTACTATTCCCCCTTGCCTTCCTTTCTTTAACCAGGGGCATTGTGCTTATCTATGTACCCTATTGATAGACCCCTGTTGTTTTATGATCAATATTGTTTATGCAGAAGAATAATTTGATCAGACAGTATTTTAAAATGTTTGGTTCTCTATATGATTTGATTTGTGTAACTATAAGGTTGCAGATAGTTGCCTGCTCTTTGTTTAAATATGCCTTTAATTTAGTATTCTACATGAAATCCTGGTCACTTCAGTGATCAAAACTTTGTAGAAATTTTTATGATATAATTTTTTATCTCGTACTCTTTTTCCAGGAGGGAGGATTTGATCTAGATATGACATATATCACGGAAAACATTATAGCTATGGGATTTCCTGCTGGTGACATGAGCTCTGGGTTCTTTGGTTATGTAGAAGTGAGCTGTCTAATCTAGCGTTCAGTTTGTTTTGATTTTATTTTTCATTTAAAATGTTGCTTTTCATACTAATTAGGCATGCACTGCAGGGGCTTTACAGAAATCATATGGAAGAAGTGATTAAGTTTTTTGAGACTCATCATAAGGTGCTAATCCATCCTCCTAACAAATTTAGTTTTGTTATGACAATTCTAGTACAAAATCAAATGTTGCAAGGTATGGATGATGTTATGACAAAATATTTCCTACCGCAAGTGTGCAGGTTGTATCTAAGTAGTAAAGTTTTGGATACGCAGAAAAAATTGTCATTAAATCTCCTAAACGGCTGGCAAATGTGGGAATTAACAGTTGCCAAGACACATTCTTAACTCTGACAATCTGATTAACTTCTGTTGTTAATTTGTTATTGAACATTTTCCTTTCTCTGTGATCACCTTTGTTTTTCTATTACCATCAAGTCTTCCCACCCTGTAAACCACATGGTTCCCATGTTATCTTGCAACCTTCCTTACATATTATTTTGACTACAAGTTGATACTGCATCAGAGCCACTTTTCTCAAATTGATTTCTTGTATTACTCATCTTTTTTTCCCCATGCCTTAATTGTTTCTCATTTGACATGTGTTTTCAGGGTAAATACAAAGTATACAATCTTTGCTCTGAGCGGCTGTATGATGCATCATTATTTGAGGGGAAGGTATGTTTCAAAAGTGATATTTTTGTGCACACTGCATAAGCCTGAGCCTGATAATGAATGCCTGTTTTCCTAAAGAATTTCTTCTTAAATTTAGATGTGTTGAGGCAAGCAAGTGAATTTCGTCCATATTTTTCTAATTGTTCTCTTCAATTTTATCAACTTTCATCATCCTTATCTGTCATCCAATTGACAAGTCATTCCATCAATTTGCACTTTTATTGATCATGCCAGGCTGTTTGTGTTATGTCTCTGTTTAACTATTCAATATTTGTTTCTCAAGTGATATTTACGTTTCAGTCTAAATTTATTCTACATCTGGCATATGATACATCAAATTCTTTCTTTAGGTGGCTAGTTTCCCATTTGATGACCATAATTGCCCACCAATGCAACTGATTATATCATTTTGTCAAAGTGCTTACGCATGGTTGAAGCAAGACATTGAGAATGTTGTGGTTGTCCACTGTAAAGCTGGAATGGCAAGGACAGGGTTGATGATTTCTAGTCTTCTATTATTCTTGAAGGTGATATTTTATACGACATTTCCTGAAAATAAAATGGATGGCTGGAATTGTCTTTATTTGTTTTGGTATGTCACTCAATCTATTTAGAGTTGGTGACTTAAATGTGCTGCAGTTCTTCCCTACCGCCGAGGAGTCCATTGATTACTACAACCAGAAAAGGTGTTTGGATGGAAAAGGGCTTGTTCTGCCAAGTCAGATTGTGAGTTCTTCAATAAATTGGAGACTCTGGACTAATTACAACCCCCATTGTTTTGCAAGTCTTGTCTTGTGCTCATGAGCCTTTTTTTTTGTTTTTTTTTGTTCCCCCTTTTTCTTGTCTTCACTAGAGGTATGTCAAATATTTTGAACGTGTCTTGACTTACTTCAATGGCGAAAATCCTCCTGCCCGCAGGTATATTTTACGTTCAATGCGACTGTAACTTCTCTGTGACTTTCACATGCTGACATTTTCTTTTGAGCAGGTGCATGCTTAGGGGAGTCCGACTTCACAGGTGCCCTTACTGGATCAGGCCTTCTATAACTGTCTCAGATCATAGTGGTGTGTTTTGACTTTCTTCTCTCAATTTTCTCCATCTGCTGGTTTTCAAAATTTGCTTGACTATGATGTTACAATTCTGTACTGGTTTTCTGGACATTTTTGCTAATATTTACATTGTTTATGACTCTGTTTATTATTAATTTGTAGTTCTATTGTATTATGGACTGTTTAAAATAGGGTTTAGCTTTATGACGCACATTTACACATTTAGTTGGAAGGCATGGATTTGTTAGGTTGTTGTGCAATTCCTACAAATCCACCTTTTGACTACAGTTCCGTGACTTCTGAGAGATAAATCTGAGTGGTAGAAAAGTATAATGAACTGCAGGATCTGTAGCACCTTCGTCTGTGAAATACCTCTCAACTATGGTCAGCCACCCAGAAAAGAAACAAAAGAGAAAAGATAAAAATATTTTTGCAATACTTTTTGTTAAGTTCTGTCAATTTGTGTTTGTTCTTATCCTTTTCTAATATGCAGGTGTCTTGTTCTCAACTAAAAAGCATCCAAGGACCAAGGATCTTAATGTGCGTTTGTTTGATTTGGTGTCAACACATTGAATGTTGATATTAAGTTGTCTTTATATTGAAGTTCTCCTCTATGGCTTTAATTCCTGACAAAACGTTGTCTGCCTGCTACCGCAGCCAGAAGATTTTTGGTTCAGTGCACCAAAGAAGGGAGTAATGGTCTTCGCATTGCCTGGGGATCCTGGTCTTACAGAGGTAGCTGGGGACTTTAAAATTCATTTTCATGATCGTCAAGGAGATTTTTACTGGTATTTGATTTATATTCGGGATAAGTATTTGATAGCTTCTGCTGGCAACGCTACATTAAACTGAAATTTCGTGCTTCTTTCTCTTGTAGTTGGCTGAACACAACAATGACTGAAAACAGGAAAGTATTGAACACCAGTGATCTTGATGGTTTTGACAAGGTAAGAAGTTAGGTTTCTCTGCAACGAGAGCTTGACGACAACACACCCTTGCATTTCTGTTGACTAATTTTGTCTGTGTCTAAATTAAGATTTGCCAATATTAAAAGCGGTCTATCTCCTGTTAAATAGAGTGACCCTCTAGTTCCTTTATAGTTATATCCATATTAAGCTCAACATTTCTTGCTGGCTTTTGGCAGAGAAAATTACCTTCACCTGGATTCCTGGTTGAGGTTGTGCTTGTGGATTATAATGGCAATGTCACGACACCCAAACCTGAAGCTGTTACCAATAGATCAGATGAGAGGTCAAGTAGTATTCCTGCCCCAGTTGATGCAAGTACCACGGCTCCAAAAGCTGAAAAAGAGTCGGAGAATCGTGATAAAGAGGATGATGTGTTTTCAGACGGTGAGTCAGAGGATTCTACTGCAAGAAGCAGGCAGGCAAAAGCAGCTTCTGAAGCTGTTACTAATTCTAATTCTGCCACTGGATCTGAGTCTAAAACTTCAAGTGAGATGACAAGCTTAACGCATGCCACGGAACAAATTTCTTTGGGACCTACGAGTGCTACTCCAATTCCTAGTGGCAGTAAACCAAAAAGTGGAGATGCAAGAACAGCGTCCAGTCTGGAAGCTCCCAGCTCAGAAAGTGAATTTAAGGCAATGGCCGCAGATGCCTCTGTATTTACGTTTGGGGATGATGAAGACTATGAAAGCGAGTGAAGAAGTACAGTGTTAGCATCCTAATATAATCCATCCAATATTTGTATATAATATTGCATGATAGTTGATCAACAATAGGATGTTCATTTCATTTGATTGTCTTGACCTTATAATGCTAAATCTTGGTTACGATTCACTGGCTTGATCCTCAGACGTTGCAATATGATTCCTTCGAATGTATGTGAAAAAGTTTATTGTTTCACTGCCTTATCCCTGCTTGCCAAGCTTCAAAATTCTCGTCTGGGCAGATCACAAATGAACTCTTAACGGCTTTACTCTCCCAAAAGGATCGAGCAAATATTTCTTCATGGTTTAATGCAGTTCAAGAGGGAGGGAAGCTGCAGGCAACGGCTGATCCTTGATCGGGTTCCGCAAAGTCAAAGTCAAATCAACCTTGTAAAGTTAAATGTCCGTTAGGATTCGTTGTAGAGAATTGATTTTGCACTGTAATTTCAGGATGGTCCATTACTCCATTTCCCGCCAAACCATCCATTGACTTGACAGAGTCAATGGAGGGAACACGAGGGATATTTCGTATGGTATTGGTAGGCGTGGCTTGGGAATCTCTCTCATTCTTTATCATTTCATTCGGCCGCGCGTTGATTGACCCTTGAGAAAACGGGTGGGTCTTCTAATAATTCAAAGGGAAAATCACAAATAAAAACCCCTGAATACATGAAATTGCAAAATGGGATCTTCAATTGATAAAATTGCTGTCAGGGATCGGGTCTCAAATATGAATTATGAAATATTAAGGAAAAGATGAAAATGTCATTCCCCTTCTCTTCTTTCTCTCTTCCTCTTTCTCTTTCCTGCTCCTCTCCTTCCTCTTCCCCCCCTAACGCCACTTCGTCATCCCCACCCCTCTTCCTTGATCCCACCGCAATCTCCTCCCACTTCTCTCATTCTCTTTTTTTAGGCGATGGCTTCACGTTTGCCATTACACTTGAATCCGACCAAGATTCGGTCTTGGACAATTAGCAGTATCTCACTTGCGAGGAAGTACTGCAGTGCTGGCTCCACCAAATCAAGCAACTAGCTCGCTGCTACAGAGTCCACTACTGGTCGCTTATGGAGGAGCTCAAGGTTAAGTAGAAAGAGCACTATTGGACTTACGGCATGAGCCCTTTTGTGAAGGATCACCAAAACAATCAGGCCAGGCACACTGAACGCGTTGTGGCATCTGGGGAGAATGTAAATTGCAGCAATGGCAATGAAAAGGCAATCATTGGTTCCAATGGTGGGGCTGGTCAAGATCTCGTACATTGCGCTTTTAGCAGTTGCAATCTTTCAAACTCTGCCATATGTGCTATAGTCTTTTGTTGCCATTATCAAGCCTTTCTAAAATTAGATGTGAGCTTGCATAAATATGAGGTAAAGCCATGGAGGACATACGTCCAGCGGCTTTTGTTCTTAAAGATAGTCTTGTGCTTGCTTGGAGAGACTTAAGAGAAACCATCATGATGAGGTTTATAATTAGGGGCATAGAAAGGTTGGAGAGACTTCAGAATAGAAGCTGCTCGCTTATTGGCAGAACAAAAGGACCCGGGGTCGTTATGTTTGTCTTCAGTGCTCCTCCTGCAATTCCCAACGTTCTTTGCTCTAATTAGTTCTAGATTTTGATTGAACAAGAATATTCTTTACATTTATATCCAATTATCAGGTGAAAATGCAGAAAACATGGAAATTAATTAATGTTGTTGTTTTGTATGCATATCACTCGTTAATCATGATAATGGAGATGTGTTACTTTTTCTGAAATTTACGTAGAAAGTGTTGTAATTCTCAACATCATAGTTGTTATTTCATTTTGTGCACAAAAAGAAGTTAATGGTAGTAGATTTGTAAGATTTATTATTTCCTAATGACGATTTGTTATTAGCAATTAAATTGTGAAAATAATGTAATTTTGTATGCCAAACATAGTTAATGGTTTTAGCTTTTCAATAGTTGTAATTTCAATCAATAGTTAATGGTTTTAGCTTTTCAATAGTTGTAATTTCAATCAACTTGTTATTTTTTTATTACAGATTTGTTTCTGTTTCAGACTTATAATTTTCTAATAAATTTGTAATTTTCTATTTCAGACTTGTTATTTTATATTATAAACTTATAATTTTCTATTCTAGACGTGTAATTTTCTATTCCAAATTTTTAATTTTCTATTCCAGACTTGTAATTCTCTATTTCAAACTCATAATTTTCTATTTCAGATATATAATTTTCTATTCTAGAATTATAACTTCCTCTTTCAGACTTCTAATTTTATATTTCAAACTTATTATTTCTTATTACAAACTTGTAAGTCTCTATTTCAATCTTATTATTTTCTATTGTAAACTTATAATTCCTAATTATTTGAGACTTATAATTTTCTATTACAAATTTGCAATTACCTATTGCATATTTAAAATTTTTTATTGTGGATCTGTACTTCCTTATTTGAGAGTTGACACGGATTGGGAGACTTGCTACTCTGTAGAGAAATTTCCCTTGATTTACCCCCACAAATCTCTCAACAATTTCACGTGCAGTGACTTCAAAATGACCAAGTCAAATGAATATAATTCCACGTGGCATCGCCGGTCAAATGGCCATGCGCATGCAAGGGCATGTGGCAATCGTAATTATCCCTTGCGGTTTGGTGATTGTCTCATGTCAAATAGGAATAATAAATCTGAAATACTAGAGAATTATAAATCTCAAATAGAAAATTATATGTCTGATAAAAAAAAAAAAGAAAATTATATGTTTACAATAGAAGATTATAAGTCTACAATAAAACATTATAAATATATAATACAAAATCATAATTCTAGAAAAAAAATTATTATAAAGCTGCAGTAAAAAATTACGATGTTGTAATAAAAAATAACAAGTTAACTATATCTATATCGATATACATATATGAGAATCACATCAAGTGACTGTAGCCTGTCATGACACCATGGAACCTCATTATACATCATCAAAAATCCAGTCACATGTTTGTAATTTGGCTTACTGCTCTTGTCATTTAACAGTAAAATATGAAAATAATGTCAGTTTTTCGTTAAACTTAACTTCATGAAAACCCAATCACAAAAATTATTATTTTGTTTATTACTCTTATTATTTAGTTTACTGTTTTTGTCATTTGGTAATGAAGCGTGGAAATAACCATTGGGAGTTTACTCTTCGTGACAAAATGGAATAGAGAGTTTTGTACCTAAACCAAAAACTATATCATATTATATACTCTTGACTAAAGCTAAACAAATTAAGATCATTTAAAAAACCAAAAAGAAAAGCGATCAACAATATACTCCTCCGGTCCTTAATATAGGACCCAATTGGTGAGTTGGTTTTGGTCTTAAATATAAGACCCATTTATCATATTTATCGATTATCTCTAAATTACCCCTATAGATACCTTTTCAACCATAATCAAGTAGAAGAGAAAGATGAGGTATTAAGAAATATGATTATGGTATTTTAGGAAAAACGTGTCATATTTCTTATAATTAACTAACTTACCTAACTTCCTTAATCTAATCAAATTAATTAAATGGGTCTTATATTAAGGACCGGAGGAGTATAATTGTTTAGACGAAGTGGATGTTTAATGAATGCCAATGATGATCATTATTTGAAGATTAATGTGTCTTGTAAGACAAATAAATCTACCCGTCTTTAAGGGGGGAAAAATACAACCTCCTGTACAGTCATCAATACAAAATAAAAGAGATTACATTATAAAAAAAACAATCAAATACATCTCATCTATTCAGTGACTATAAGAGATAGGAAAACATGCTAGTCGCATGAGCAATCTCTCACTATCTTTGTTTTCAGATATTTTAATTTTCACTTTTGATAGCAATGGTATATTTTTGTTTTCATCTCCATGATTTTCATATTTGTTTATAAAGTTTTGTGTTTCGATTTTTATTATTATTTTTGCTGGATTCGTGTTTTGGGAGGGCATGGCATGAACAACGCCAGTAATGTGATGGGGAAGAACTTTTGGGTAAAAGAAGAAGGGAAAGGGAAATTCACTTTGGGCATTTCTGTCTCTTTATTAATATTTTATAATTAATATTTAGAAAAAATCTCAATTAAATCCATCTAAAATAATGAAATTCTAATTAAGGCTTATACTTTTAACGAATTCCTAATTAGACCAAGAGACCTAATTAGGGATTTTCAAATGTTGCTGAAAGACCGGAATGCCTCTTTGTAATAAAAAAGGAAAATTGAAAGTAGGTGTAAATCTGATTTTAGTTTTAATTATTCTAGTAAATTTACTAATGAGGACATGGTCTTTCTTAGATTTTATGTCAAAGGTGTGTTTTGTAATTGTGAACGTTATGTCAACTCTAGAATTTATGGCCTTTTAGTTTTTTTTATATAATAAAAATTTGATATTGAATAAATCTTGGAAACCGAAAAATTGAAGATGAATTGATGAGTCTAAATGTAAGTTGTGAAATAGTAAAATTAATTTTGATAGATATTCAACAATTCCATGAATCTTTGATTTGATTTTTTCTCGCACAAAAAAAAAATTGATCTTGTTAATCTTTTACATTTGAAATCGTAAAATTTTTATTAGTTCCCATATTTTTGCAATTCTAAAATTAGGTATTTTTTTTATCTTGAATTTTCAATTACTTTTTATTGGTCATAATCATGATTTTTCTTTTTTTGTTTTTTATATGATAATGTTTTTGGCCAAATTTTCATGTGATAATGTTTAAAGAAAAAACATGTTAGTTAAATTCAATTAAAAGAATTAAAACTAAAATTAGGCTTTTTAATTATGAAGGGTATTTCGGTCTTTTAGAAATATTTAAAAATTCCCAATTAAGCCTCTTCGACTAATTAAGAATTTGTTAAAAGTGTAGGCTTAAATTAGAATTTTGCTATTTCAAATAGATTTAATTAGAATTTTCCCTAATATTTAAGACCCAGCTTCTAACAATAATTCTGTAAATTGCAGAACCCATTTTACAATTATATATACTTATAAGTGTTTTTTTTTTTTTTTTGCGATTTTTCCTAATTCAAAATGGGATGGCATTAATGATGCTTTCAACCTTCAATGACAGAAATGGACCGGAAACGGCATTTCCGTCTACTCAATAAATTTTTATTTTGCTGGCAAAAGCCTTAGCTTAGAATAAATAAGCTTGCGTCTCGCGTGGCCTGCTGGCGTGGAGAAATGGTCTCAGCCGCACGGTCGCGTGTTCGAGACGCAGCACGAGAGAGAGCCTGAGAGAATCATAAGAGAATAAATAAGAAAAAAAAATCACAAATAAAGATTCCTGAATTATTAAAATTACATAAAGGTCACCTAAATAGCAAAATTATCATAAGGGACTCAGTCTTATATTGCAAATATGAAATCCTAGTGAAATGTCTGAAATGCTCCTCAACCAAATAACAAGTTGACTATAGAAAATGACAAGTTCATTTTAGCGAACGCTAAATTCAGTCGACCAAATCAGAACTTGGTTGAATGTATACCAAATGACAAGTTGACTATAGGAAATAAAGAGTTTGCTTTAGCGAATGATAATTTCAGTAGATCAAATCACAACTTAGCTGAGAGGTATTTTGGATATTTCGTCAAGATTTTATATTTACAATAAGAAATTGAGTCTTTCATGATAATTTTATTTATTCAGATAACCTTTGTGTAATTTTAATAATTCAGGAGTTTTTATTTGTGATTTTCTCAGTAAAAAAAATGTGAAAACAACCCTTCACGAGATCCGATCAATTAAGGGTTTTTTTTTTTGGGGGTCAAAGATCAATTAAGTTGACCCGTTTAAACTTTATGGATTGAGTCAATCAACAAAAAGTTAAAAAATAATAAGCAAAACTTGTAATGGGAGACAAATTGATTTGATTAACAATAAATAAATGGATCAAGTAACCTTTTTTGGCTGCCAAAGTAATATTTAGAACTTCTTAAATTAATAAATAATGCTAAGCGTCAGATATTACTAAAAAAATTAAAAATATAGAAATAATGCATGTACGATCTTTTTTCATTTAAACTTTTAGATATTAGATCTTAAAATTGATTTTTAAGAAAACAAATTAAGAGTTTTTATTATATCGTTCCTCTCGGCTTTATTTCTGACATCGATTTCCCAAATTTTTTAACCTAGCTGTAGTTCTAATCTTCTCACACGCTTTATTTTCAATTTTACCAAGTCATCTACTTATGAATATGAAGGAGCTTCATCGAAAGTCAGGGGGAATAGCCCAGAAATCAGAAGGATCACCGTATGCTGGTGACTAATTCCGAGTAGTACCGGTAATTTATTATTTATCTCCAAGGTGTTTTTTTTCCTTTTATGTTATAAATCGGCTCGACCCTTTGCGGAATCATCACTATTTAACTTTTCCCTGTCATAAAGCCAGGGCAGTTCAAAGTCCAAATACTTCAAATCCACTCTCAATCACATAAAGCTTATTTGTTCGTCCATGTCGATATCTGGGATCCAAGGTCACACTCTTGAGGTTACTGGTACGTGATTCGCCATTTTCCCTCTTCGCCCCCGGGTTTCAGTTTTAATGAAGAGAAAAATCATACATATTGTCTGTAATGTCGATGCAGTTGTCGGTTGCTCTAAGTTGAGGGATACAGAATGGATTTCCAGGCAAGATCCCTATGTCTGCGTCGAATATGCTAGCACCAAGTTCCGTACCAGAACTTGCACAGGTATTGACTTGACTTGTGTATGAATTAGGTCTTTTCTGGTGAAGTTTACAAAGTTAGAGCAAAATTTTTATAATAAATGGAGCAGGGCAAATAGAATTGTTCGTTTGAAATTTTATTGTCAACTCAGTTTTACTTCAAACTGGAGATGAGATCTTTTGAACATTGGCCTGTGCAGACGGTGGCAAAAATCCCACATTTCAAGAGAAGTTTGTCTTTCCGCTAATTGAAGGGCTTAGGGAAATTAACGTGTTGGTTTGGAATAGCAATACAATTACCTTTGACGACTTTATCGGAAGTGGAAAGTAATAATTTCAGATTCTCTGGCTTCATTCTTCACTCATAAGTTTTTATGTATCTAGTACCCTTTTGGTTCACACTAAGATTCGATTCGAATTCGATATATTCAGGATTCAATTGCAAAAGGTTCTTTCAGAAGGTTTTGATGACTCTACCTGGCCTCTTCAAACAAAAACTGGCCGGTAAACACCAAGCCAAAATCGAGAACGTCTCTGAGTTGTTAATTTTTGGTTTTTTGCTTTAATTTTTTTACTTATATTTGGACTATTCTGTCTTCCTATTTACCACCCCCATGAAATGTATGTTAAAATTCATAAGGCCTCAGTATTGCATCAGATCATTGGAATGGCTTCTTAAACAGGAACTGCTAGTCCTTCAAGGTATCTGGTTTTGCAGAAGCCATTCAGAGTATTGAAGTGAAAAGATTTGATTAAACGATTTAAGGCAGATATGACCAAGTTTTTATTTGGATAGATTCGTTATAACATCATTTTTTAGACTACAAAATGTGTGGGAATCGAACATTTGAAAAAAAAAAAAAGAATTAGAGTAGTGCTCCTTAAAGTATGTGCGGCAAACTGTAATTGGTGAGCCTATACAAAAATGTCTAAATATTTTAGTAGCATATCATCTATACTAAACCATGGGTCAACCACCGAGCCAAAAAAATTCAGTGGTGTCCTGTGTTTCATGATTCATATCATATTCATATCTATGTCCTTTGAGCATCCTAGAGTGAAAGAAACTCATTCTCCCTGTCTGTGCTTGTTGAAGTTATAAAACACTCGTCGACACTTAACAATCTCGCTTTTTTCTTTTGGCAGACATGCAGGGGAGGTAAAAGTCATAATGCATTATGCAAACGCCAAAGTAAGCTGCATTTTCCATAATGTGTTATGTAGATGATTGGTGTTGATTAACTTGAAGTAATTAACGATTTCATATGTTTGTATCATAATTTGCAGAAACCAACTTCAAGTTATGCTCCATCAGCACCACCATACATGAATTCAAGCGTCCAATATTCCGCCCCTCCTCCTGCTTCTTATCCACAGCCTGCATCTGCACCTTATGCACCGCCACCGCCACCTGCAGTTTCTTATCCTCCACCTCCTCATACAGCTTACCCCTCTTCATCACACTATCCGTCATATCCATCTGGCTATCCGCCACCACCGGGACCACCACCATCTTATCCTCCGCCTCCCAGCACTTATCCTCCACCTCCGTATCCACCACCACCCGCAGCTTATCCCCCACATCCATATCCACCGCCTCAACCAGCTTCTGCATATTACCCTCCTGGTAATGTATTGTTTTTTGTCTCTCTGTGCCAAAAAAGGGGGGGAAAAGCTGGACTCCAAAATTTGGCCCATTGGTTGTTAGTCTTATTTTAACTTTACGCAGTTATGAGTTTAATCTTTTGTTTGCTGGCAATAATCCTTTTATCCATAGGCTAAACGAGTATAGAGGAATTGACGTGGAACGATGGCTGTTATTATTATTATTATTATTTTTTTGAATCAAAACCTGAGAACAAGTACTTACACAAAAGCAAAAAACATCAAGACTTAGTTTCCTGTATCAACCTCCCCCTCACCCAAAGGAAGTGGCTGATCTAGGATACAAAAGTTATCCTCCCTATGATGAGAAAGTTTTGCCAGGTGATCAGCAATAGGAATAGATTCCTTAGGAGAATGTATTGGTATAACCATCCACTCCGTACGAATCAGGAGCCTAGCATCATCAACTATGTCCTTAAAGGGATAGCTGCTTTGACAACCTCTACAATCCAAAGACAAGGCTTCTACACAATCGCTATAAACTGCTATGTTTCTATACCTTCTATTCCAACATAAACGCAACCCATGAATTATGCCGAGGATGGCCGTTATTTTTGAAAATTCACTTTCTAGTTTTTTTGGGAGTTAAAAGCTTCTATTAGGCCTAACAAATTGCAAAATTGTTGATTAGTCTTTTTGATTCCTATTTCATTCTTGTTAATATATTATTCTGCTTAGTTTGCATGCTCTTCTTTCTTTCATAACATCATTATATATATTTTTGGTCTTTGTTGTCAGGTCCTTATCCTGGAACGTATCCTCGGCCGCCGTATTAGAGATCTCTTTGTACTTGGTCAAGTCTGAAGCTAGGAAGCAGTATGTATAGACCTGTTTTGATTTAGCAGTTATTGAAGTAGTTTTATTTTTATCCAAAAAAATTCAAATTTTATCATTTCTGTAGGCGTTCCCAGATTTTCTTTATGTTTTGGATTACATTGATTTTAGAGATGCCTTCAGCTTTAACAGAAGTCATCAATTGTCTTCGTTTGCTCTGTATTCACCGGGAAGTTTCAGAAACTGTCAATAGATTGGCAAAAGATCATGAAATTACTCCATCCACATTGTAAAATTTGGTTGTGCCTATGTTTGAGGATGGCGATGGTCGTTAGATTTTTCATGCTGGAGAATTTACTTTCTTTAGAAAGTTCTTTATATGATTATAAATCATATAGCTTACACAAGACGTGACTGTAATTTTAATTATTTTTGAACATGTTTTTATTTAATTCTACAGTCTTACATCTAATTTACAATGGATTGTTTAGTTAAGGGATCATGCATATAAAATACTATGGTTAGAAATAAATAACTAGTTTGAAAATATTATTAAAATTTGTTAATTAAATTAGTTATCTGTAATAAATAAGTGTTATCTTTTTTAAAATATTTTTATTAATTATATATATTAAAATGGAAATCTTTGTACAATCACTAAAGAAACGACTTTGAGGAAAAATAATAGGCAGTAAATTTGAATTTTATATATTAGATTAAATTGAGTCTCGGACTAATGTTTGTATTTATTATAACAGCTTGTATAGAATTTATGCTGGGTTCCATATTTCCTGTCAAATTTGTAGTCTGGTCTTAAAAAAAAAAAAGTCTATAAAATTGACAGGCATATCAAAGGGTCGTCGACAATGAACTTGCTGTAACGACAAGACTGATTCATAATCTGAGGTTATGTGTGATAAGACCTACAACTAAGACTGTCCAGAAATTATTTTGCAGTATAAATTATATTATAAAATAAATCTTATATTTAAAATTAAAAAAGTATTATATATTACTTGTTCAACTTGTTATAAATTTAATATTGTATATTAATTAATCACATTTGATGTTAATCCATATGTAATACTCACTTGGTCCTATTAATAAGCTGTAAATTTGAAAAGATACGTGATTTATTTTATAAGTTTCAATTTGTATTTTTTTTTTACATTTAATGTATTTGTTTCAATTTTATCCTTAATTATTTATTCTCTCTTTTTTATCATATTTTTTATTATCACATTTTTTCGCATATCTTATTTTATTCTTTTTCTTATTTATTATAAAGATATATTTAAAAAAATATTTTTATTATATTTATTGAGTTTAACTAATTTTAACTAATTGTTCCTTATTACTTATTTGAAGTTTATGATAAAGAGCATGCGTGGTATAAAATATACTCTTTTGATCTTATTTATAAGACATAATTAGTGTATTTCACATAGACCAAAAAAATATCTTACAATGCATTAACTCTCCATTAATATACGACAACTTTTTAACTTTGTCTCTATTTAATATATACATTTTAAAAAGAATAACTTTCTACATTATAAGAAATGAAATATAAAATAGTACAATCATATTACAAATTTAATAAAGTGACTTATAAATAGGATATAAAAATATTTTTTCTACTTTATAAATATAATTAGAGGAACACGTGTATAAAAATTGTGTTATTTATACATTATAAATATAAATTGGCTGTTTAATGACAAAAAAAAAATAATTTTTCTATTTTTATTAGCATTAAAATTAAAATATACCCGAAAAGTGGAAAATTGGATTTAAATAAATTATGAAAGCATAGTAAATATATATAAAAGGACAAGCGTGAAACCCCGTCAGCTGTAAAATCAATCCTCTCTCTTGCTTTTTCTGTTTCTCTGCTTTCCCCCTGCAATCCTTCCCTTCCATTAGACACAGTAAAGAAAAGAGCGATGGGTTTCAGTCTCAGTGTCTTCTTTTTACGATGACCACATCGCTCCTTCACATCACAACTCATCTCCCTCTTCTTCCCTTAACCAAAAAGAAGAAGAAGGAGAAGAAGATGGCTTTTCAAGATTCTTCCTTTCTTCTCGATTCTCTCTACTGTCATGAGCCCAACCTGGATGAACAAGACGACGAACAAGAACACCCACAATCAGAGTTATCAGATGAAACTGATCTCTCGAACAATAATGCTTCTCTGTTTCCTCTGCTTCTGTTGGAGCAAGATTTGTTCTGGGAAGACCAAGACCTCATCTCTCTCTTCACCAAAGAACAGCAACAACATCAAGAAGTTGCCAACTTCAACCTGGGTAATCTGGAATTTTCAGGCTCTCGCCTCTCCTTGGCTCGTCGTGAAGCTGTGGAGTGGATTCTTAAGGTGAATACTCACCATGGCTTCTCTGCTCTTACTTCAACTCTGGCCATTAATTACTTGGATAGGTTCATTTTAAGCTTCAAAATTGAAATAGAGAAGCCATGGATGATCCAACTGGTGGCTGTCACTTGCCTTTCTTTAGCTGCAAAGGTCGAAGAGACACAACTCCCTCCTCTTCTAGACCTCCAAGTACGTTGAAAACGCAACCTTGGGTCTTGTCCTTTCATTTTTAAGTTTTCGTTCTAAGATATGACAGATCTAATTCTTTCCTTTTTGGTTTTAAGGTGGAAGGTACGAAGTATGTGTTCGAGGGCAAGACGATTCTGAGAATGGAGCTTCTGGTTTTATCGACCCTGAAATGGAAGATGCACCCAGTGACACCATTATCGTTCTTAGATCACATCATTAGAAGGCTTGGATTGAAAACCCATCTTCACTGGCAATTTCTCAAGCGTTGTGAGCATCTTCTTCTATCAGCACTTTCAGGTAAACATTTTAAAAGAACTCACATTAGAACAACAACGAAAGAGGCCACTATAAACAGTATCCTTATAAACATCGAAACACTGTCTGTAGATTCAAGATTCGTGGGCTGTCTTCCTTCTGTGTTGGCCACAGCCACAATGCTTCGTGTTATAGAGCAGATACAGCACAATGATGCAGCTGAATACAAAAAACAACTCCTGGATGTGCTTAAAATCAACAAGGTATGAGCTTAATTCTTGTTCTGTCGTCTAGTGTTACTGAAAGAACTTGGAGTTAGCGCGGTATCATAATTATAATGTAGATCTGTGTTATGAAACAGGAGAAAGTAGAGGAGTGTTATAAAGCAATTCTCGAGGCGTCTGATAATAAGAATAGAAAGAAGAGAAAGCATGATGAAAGAATAATAATCCCTGTGAACCTAAGTGGCTTAATCGATGGTGGAGTTGGGACCGATGAAGGATCCAACGGTTCGTGGAAAGTGGGGTCATCTTCATCATTATGTTCTTCACCAGATCAGTCTCTGTTGAAGAGGAACAGAGCTCAGCAACAGCATCAACAACAACAGCGTAATATGAAGTTGTCTCCATTGAATCTGGTTGGTGTTGCAATTGTTGTCTCATCTCCTAAATAACGAAGAACTTGTAATTTTCATATTCTGGTATCCCGCAGCATATGGTAAAGAATGAGTATATATTATCTCTTTCTTCATTTTCAGCAATGTCCAACGTGCACATCTCAGAAGATAAAATGGGCCCACGTCTTTTGATATAATCAAGATCTAATAATAAGATAAATTCAGCACAAATGGTTTCTTGTTAATAAGTATATTGCAATGTTATATGAGAAAATCGGCGCTTAAGGATGAAAAGGGTTTGAATATTTGATGGAAAGATGAAGTCTTGAAGGTATATTGCAAGTCTGCATATTTGATGGAAAGGTAAAGTCTTGAAGGTATACTGCAAATCTGCAATCGAGTTTGAGGAGCACTTCGGAAATCTGGAAATGAAATCTTCAAGACTTGGTTCTTCTTGTCAATCATTTCATCCTTTTCATCGTTGTGTCCAATTTTTTTCTTCTTATATTTGGATAGAATGATTGCACAGATATTTATTGACCACCCATCTTTTGCAAATTAAACCAATCATGACAATAATCAAGGTTTCTTAGTTCAATTCGGGTTGAACTATCCAATAGTAATAAAATTAATATACTCTTCCGGTTTTAAATATAAAACTTTTTTTGTAGTATTATATTTAAGATTAGAGAAGTATTTTTTTATATATTAACTAGAAGGGTATAAGAATTACAATTTTTTATTATATATATGTATATATCAAAATAGTAATTTAAAAAACTATTACTAATGAATTTCGTAACCTACTATTCAAATCTGAATGAGTTAACATTAATCCACAATTACACATTGAACTCAAAATAGCAAAATTGACCGGCTATCATCATAGTACTCATTAAGTAAACATAAGTAAACACTAGCAAAATAGTAATAATTATTTACAAGAATAGTTCATACATGCATGATTTTAGGATGTAGGAAGAAAAGAGTATGTCCTATAAAGATACTATTTTGTACTAACAAATATAAAAACTATAAAAAAATGATTAAATAAGATTTTAATCAGTTGAGTCAATAACTCAAATGGTTTTCCTTTGTTTATCTCTTTTTTTCAGTTCTTGACCAATTTAATGAGCTATTTAATCAGTTTACTTTTTGACTGTTCCGGCAAAATTTCACCATGTTGTTTGTATTGGTTCATTAGTTTTGACATCTTTTTAATTTTTTCAATCTAATTCTATTAACACCCATATTAGCACCAATCATTAATAAGGAAAAGAATCAAACAAGACTGGAAAACATATGATTAAACACTTTCAAAGTCAGTCGCAGGTAGTGCGATACAATATAGATATGAACTTTTTGCAACAAGTCATAGTTGGATTAGACTAAGTATGATTATCTTGTGCTTCATCTTTATAAAAGCATATAAGAAAGGTGGAATAACCCATGTGGGTGACTGCTGACATTCCTCAAACATTTTTTTTTTAAAACTTTCTCTAAATTGCTTAGTGATTTTGATTTTCTTTTTCTTTTTCTTTTTTCTTTTTGTTTTTTTGTTACCGCCTCTCTTACTTTAGAAATTGGGAAGATTCAGTGTGTGGCCATTTTAGTGGATTCCCTATAGTGCTTGCTGCATTTTTCCAGTTGCATTAGACATGTAGGATAAAAAATTAGCATTAAATATTTAAAATCCATAGTTAACTTTTAGAAAAACTAATCTTGGTCCTGTATTTTTTATTTGGTTGTTAAATGTACATAACTTAATTCTTATAGTTTTAACTATGTTGTAAGTCAGTCTCTCTGAACCCTTAATTTACTATAACTCAATTAGCTTTAACCATTTAAAACTTTAGTTCCTATATTTTTAAAAGGTTTAAGGTGTAATTTTGTCTTTGATCTTTTTAGTTGCACAATTTTGACCCTGATCTCTCTTTTTTTTTAATGCAATTTTGCCCCTCAAAGTCAAAATTGCATCCAAAGATCATAGGCAAAATTATACTTAAGAAGTAAAATTAGGGGT